GGTTAGAACGCATCATGGTGGAAAAAGAGGACTCCTGGACTCCCATGGACTCCTGAAGTCTAGGAGTCCAAGAGCAAAGTGTTCTTTTTTGGAAATCACTTCCCAAAAATTGGACACTTTTGTTCTTTTTTGGGAAGTGATTCCCAAAAAAGAACACTTTGCTCTTGGACTCCTAGACTTCAGGAGTCCGGGAGTCCAGGAGTCCGCTTTTTCCCCCTTGCTTGAACCTCTTGAAACTAGCCTAACTTGTTCAGTTTTCTCTACTCGTTCGATTCATGTGTGACTTAAATTTTTTAAAATAGAGGACAGAAGAAGAAACAGTAAAAATATGATAAAAGTCTACTTTTTCGATTTTTTTTACGAGGTGTCTTGTATAGAATCACTAACTCACTCAGGGTTTATGGGTAACTTTGAACGCTTTATCTAATGAGGTCATAAAAGATCGTTCTAATTTTTGACTACGTTACTGGTACTTTGAGTGATGCTTGAATTAGTTTTGGTGCTGCCGATCTAATCTTATTATTGGTCTTCGAAATGAGAGGGATAGTAAAGGAAAAGCAGACCGCCGATTAAGACAGAAAAGTGTGGTTCAGGACAGAGTAGAATTTCCATAATTACGTGAGCTAGGCCAAGCATCATGTCTGTGAGGTGTATAACGAAAATAGCTCGAGCTCATGGTAAATGATCATTAAGAAAAATTGCTTCGGTGAGAATCAAGTTCGGCCAGTTAGAGAATGCACGTTGAAGCGATTGGCATCGGCGATTCCTTTCCAGTCAAGGGATAAGTGAATCAGCATGATGAACGCTACTGGTTTTTTTCCGAGTACTATTTATTTTTGTAGAGAACGTTAACTACAACTTTTCGATATTCGTTATCTATTTCTTAATTTTACATATACATATATACTCTAATTAATTACTTGTTCTTCACATTCATTCTACTTTTGTATGACGAAGGCGTCTTTGATGTTGAAACGTGACAATAAAATCAAATAACAAAGAGTATTCAGAAATAACCCAAATTTATACAAGAGGCAAAGCAGTTAATGAATGGAATTTTTTTCGAATGAATGACTCGAGTCAAACAGTCGAGTCAACGTCTTCCAATTTTCGAGTCAGAGTCATTAAAAAAATGCGACTCGAGTCCGAGTCATGACTAGGACTCGCCTAGCACTGATACGTACAAACTGACAAGAAAAACCAGAATCTGACAAACAATGCTTCAAGAATGTCAACTTCCATTATGAAACGATACAGCCATTATTATTTGTGAGATTGTGAAACATGCATTCCATGGAATATCCATTGGTTGGTTTTAGCAGGTTTTAGTATGCTTGGTGACGATGTCGCTATATGTTGGCAAATACAATCGAAGAGATACTGAGTGGTATCGTTGTGACGGACATACGACACACCTATACTTGTGCAACAGCACCACTCTGGCATGACGCATATGAATAGGCTGTTTTGCGATTGAGCAGGGACCTCGAACAAGGGGGAAAAGGCGGATCCCCGGATCCGCAAAGAATGATGAGGAAGCTACAGTCTGTGTGAAATTTACTGGAGTGATAGAGAGAGCCACAGTCTATGTGAAACTGAGTAGAAAACAGAGGGGGCCACATTCTATGTCAAATTGAGTGGAATGATAAATGGAGCCATAGTATATGTGAGACTGAGTAAAACGACAGAAGGGCCACATTCTACGTGAAATGATAGAGGGCGCCACAATCAATAGAGAAACACCTGGGGTGAAAGAGTGCGTCAGGGTCAAAAATTCAAGTTGTACATTTTCCACTGTCATTAATATTCTCAGGTTGAACGAATTTTCTGGAAAGTTTTTCTGTGCTTATATAAGGAATGAGGCAAGTAATAAATTATTTTCATTTGCAGCCACCTTAAGGGCCTCTCCCTCCATATGAAATGGTGATTTTCGATTTCAGAATCTGCATCGCTTTTGGTTACAGAAATGTTTTTTTCCGGATTTTCAGAAATTCTGTTTTGGCTATGCCAGAATGATAATCGGATTAAAATAATTTATTTTATTTTTCCATCGAAATAATAAAAATTAAAAAGTTAACAAAGAAGAAAAAAAGACTTAAAAAAGATCAACAGATGGCAAGATGGCTGGGTTTTTCTCTGTACAAAAACGTTTTCAATAGTTCATCAGTTGGCCAGAGAAAGAAAATGAGCGGGAATGCGATTCACATAGGTTAATACAGTGAATAGAGTGGATAGATAAGAGAAGAATGCTCTAGGAAGATGCATAACTGTTTGTGCATGCAGTATATGAGTGGTAATAAAAAGAATATGGGATATTTTGACGATTCGGTAGTAGAATGCGAGCAACAGAAAGAAATGAAACTATCATAGGATGGGAAAGAAAGAGAGAAATGAATCGTCTCTCATATATGTATGTTTATCACTTGTACATGGAAACATTGCTGAGATATAGGAAAGGAAATTGAATGATAGCTTTTTATTATGGATGGTAAGGACTGGATGATGATTTTGAATAAGCAAAACAATTAAAAAAAGTTAAAAAGATTGAATAAAAGGAATTGTATCAGAAACTTTCATGCATTCGAGACAGGATGGCGGAGCGGAGGTGGTGTGAGAGTGAGTCCGGGGTATTTTTTTCAGTGAGTATTTGTTATCGCGATTAGCGAGTAAGAAAAAGTGAGGAAAAAACATCTGAGCTAAAGTTCTATAAGAGACAAAAGTAATTGTCTTCTTAGTCTATTCCCATTGCTTGTAATTGTCTTGAGGCTACTTCATACGGCTTTGAAGCGGTATTCAGTTTTTGTATATGTGTGTGAGGAGACGTTGCTACCCGGGGCCGCTGAATGTAGTCCTCCATTGGGATGATATAGGGTGCTTTACCGGCGAAAGTCATCTGCTGTTGTCCGTCTTTTATCAACTCCAGTCATGATTGCCATTGCCCGATATTTTCTTACATGTCTTTTAATAAATTGGACTATGAAGTATCCAATGGCAGCAGCGATAATTAACGCGATGATCATAATCAGAATACCGCGCCAGTGGAAATGGACGCGTTCATTGTGCTTTTCAATGACGTTATGCAGATCAATGTTGATTACACCTGAATTGATGTTTTTATGTTCGGTACCAAAAAGCATTGCTTTGGAGGCTTAAAATTGATTTGGGAAAATGAAGATATGAGAAAAAGGATGTGAAAAAAAATTTGCACTTCTGTTTTGAGAAATAGAGGAGACGATAAAAAATAGCTCGCATATTCATCATGTGAGGGGAAAGCAATGGAATGGCAGGACTATTTCCGCTGATAACATTCTATTCAAGATAAGTTTGAGAATATTCTGAGGTCATTTGATGGGTACAAATTCTCATTCTATCAGTTATACATGATGGGGAAATAGTTTGATTATTTTGAGTGTAAAATTTTACATGAAGGTTTTTTACGAACAAGGATTTGCGCGAGATTTGGAGTCAAACGGTATCCTAAAATAGGGTTGATAAATTCGAGTGGTGTCTCTCGAAAAACACTGTTCCATATACTACGCAATCGAGCGCCGAAGCACTCTAATGCTGGTATATAGGAAAAATGGATCAACAGATCTGTTTCTCACTTTATTCGTGTCGCTCGGTGTGGATTACTCTCTTGCTGTTTCCAGTCGGTACGAAAGAGTTGTTTTCGAACTTTTCCGTAGTTCTGAAAGAGTTGGTCGAGGGTGTTCTCTATTTTCCTGCTCGTCTGCTTTTTGGGTGAGTAATGCGGGGAGAGCGGCTAAAACTTGTTGTTTTTTCTGCATGATCGGTGTGAGAATATCTTTGTTCATAAAATCTCTCCCGTTTGGGTCTCGTAGAGTATCAGGATTCTCCTTGTCTGAATTTTGAGGGGTAGCACTCTGAACATTAATGCACGGTGATGGGAGAGGTTTATTTTTAACATAACGATCTAGTTGGTCCTGATCCTAACATGTCCTGGAGCTAACATGTTTGAAGAGAGAGGGTTAAAGCCAAAAGCAGAAGGAAGATTACAAGCTTGAAAAGAGGGTGCAAAAACAGTTTTGATTGTTGACAGTAATTTGTTTTTACCTGTTGGATCGATATGATGTAGTTTATCGAATAAATCGTTTTCTAATATATCGGTTTTTACGACAATAATCGGTATTGTTGTCGATAGTTCATCGAGTTGTTCGTTATAACGGTCAATTTGTGCGTTAAAGGCATAGGGTGAGGGGAATAATTTGGTGGGTTTTTTTCGCGGAAAGACTTCATGAATAAAAACTTTCTGTATTTGAGGAAAACGATATGGGATATTATTATACATCATTGTTATCGATTTAATCATGTCATCGGGATATTTATCTGATAGGTCGTTTGTACCGACAATAAGTAATACTTGTCTTACATCAGATAGGAACTGTGTACCATCGTTTGAATACACATATTCGATTAATTTGTCGATGGTCGCTCCCGATTGCGAGTACAATTTAATTGTAGCATGTGGTGATTGTAGCTCGTCTTGCCGTATTCGAGACGCCATGGAGTCTGATAATACTGCTACGGTTGGAACTGGAATCAGATCAGCAGTTGTTGTTGTTGGTAATGGCAGAGGTTTAGACTGCGGTTTCGAGTTGACCGTTGTGACTGCATTGGTCGATTTGGTTGCTAGAGGTGTGAGGGTTGGTTGAACTGCTCGTTGGCGTTCACGTTTCTGTTTTTGACTTTCTTCAAATGTTTTCGTATTTGTTGTTGAACAAAAAATGGAGGTATATATGCAGGATCGATCGACATTAATGGTGGAGGATTATATCGATACGCTGTATTTTGCGATGATTCTTGCGATAAACGGGTGTTTTCTACTCTTAAAATATGAGAAGCACGGGGTTGGTTAGATGGATTAAAACGCATTCTGGTAGAAGAGTGGGAACGAGAACGAGATCTGCGCAATGGTGGTCGACGAAATTGCGGTGGGGGTATTTGAAGATAAGGTGTTGTTGACGGGACATTTTTTTCTAGTTTTTTTGCCGATTTATTCTTCGATTTCTTGCCCGACTTAATAACTTTCGATGTTACCATCCACTGTGCTGATACTTCCGGGATGGTAACCGATAGCATATCGTCCATCGCATCATTACTGAAATTGTTACTACTAATTGTTACTTACTATCTAAATATCTAACTAGCTTATAAAATGTGAACCTGCAGGAACTGTAAATACCTTAAGAGAGACTTCGCGACTCAGTCGAGCATTGCTTCCGAGGTCAGTGGAATGGTCGAAATTAACATACATGTTTTTTCATATTTTTGGATTCTACGATCAAAAGTGAGGTTATGAAAAATTTTTTACCCCGTTTGAACTTATTTTGACTGAGTTCTGAATTTTTTAAGTAAAGGGGGTCGAGGATTTCTAAAAAAGTAGGTGTCGCCAGCATTTTGCCTGTAACTCAGTCAAATTTCATCCGTTCTGTTCGAGC